GATAGGGAGACAGAAAGAAGGGATTTCTGAGCAGAGGAAACAGCAGGGCCAAAGTCGTGGCTTTCAACATACCAGCTTTATAGCTGCATAGTGCCAGTTTATTATTATTATTACTTATTTTTTATTTTTTGTACACCCCAGTGGCCAGACATTACATAACTTAATACGTGATTATCCCAATAAATCTCACACCCATCCAGCACCACACATAGTTATTAAGATATTATTGACTGTATTCCCTATGCTGTACTTTACCTCCCCATGACTATTCTGTAACAACTAATTTGTGCTTCTTAATCCCTTCACCTTTTTTGTCAACCCCCAACTCCCCTTCCACCTGGTAACCAACAAAAAGTTCTCTGTATCTTTGAGTCTGTTTCTGTTCTGCTTGTTCATTTTGTTTGTTGATTCAATTATTGGTAAATATGTATTTATTGCCATTTTATTGTTCATAATCTATATATCCTTTTCTTCTTCTTAAAGAAGACCCTTTAACATTTCATATAATACTGGTTTGGTGGTGATGAACTCCTTTAGCTTTTCCTTGTCTGGGAAGCTCTTTATCTGTCCTTCAATTCTAAATGATAGCTTTGCTGGGTAGAGTAATCTTGGTTGTAGGTTCTTGGTATTCATCACTTTAAATATTTCTTGCCACTCCCTTCTGGCCTGCAAAGTTTCTGCTGAGAAATCAGTTGACAGTCATATGGGAGCTCCCTTGTAGGTTACTAACTACTTTTCCCTTGCTGCTTTTAAGATTCTCTATTTGTCTTTAATCATTTGCATTTTAATTATAATGTGTCTTAGTGTGTGTCTCTTTGGGTTCATCTTGTTGGGGCTCTCTGTACTTCCTGGACTTATATATCAATGTCCTTCACCAGGCTAAGTAAGTTTTTTCTGTCATTTTTTCAAATAGGTTTTCAATTTCTTGCTCTCTCTCTTCTCCTTCTGGCGCCCCCATGATGCGAATGCTGGTACACTTGAAGTTGTCCCAGAGGCTCCTTACACTATCTTTTTTTTTTTTTTTTAATTCCTTTTTCTTTTTGGTATTCTGATTGGCTGGGTTTTTTTGTTGTTGTTTTGTTTTGTTTCCTTATATTCCAAATCACTAATTTGATTTTCAGCTTCATCTACTCTACTGTTGATCCCCTGTAAATTATTCTTTATTTCCATTAGTGTAGCCTTCATTTCTAACTGGTTCTTTTTATGCTGTTGAGGTCCTCACTAGGTTCCTTGATCATCCTTATAAGCAGTGTTTTGAATACTGCATCTAGTAGATTGCTTAGTTCCATTTTGCTTAGTTCTTTTTCTGGAGTTTTGTTGTATTGTTTCATTTGGGCCTTGTTTCTTTGTCTCCTCATTTTGGCCCCCTCCCTGTGCTTGTTTCTGTGTATTATGTAGAGCTGTTATATCTCCAAGGCTTGGTAGCATGGCCTAATGTAATAGGTGTCCTTATAGGGCACAGTGGCACAGTCTCCCTGATCACTTCTGCTGGGCACTTGAGGTGTGCACTCCCCCCCCCCCCCCCCCATAACCTCCTATTGTAGTTGTGTCTTGATTTCTATTAGCACATCAATGGGAGGGATTTAACCAGGCCAATCAGCTATAAGGACGGCTGTGACCACTGACCACCTATCTCCAATCATCTTGGAGGATTGGATGTGTGGGGACCCACAGCACAGAGCAGGACTTACTTCAGCAGGGCTCTGGTGCTCACTGAGTCCACCCCTTGAGTGTGTCGCTTAGATGTGGTCTGGCTCTGGGACCTCCTGGGAGGTGCAGGCCAATATCAGCTACCACTTTTGTTCTACTGGGGACAACCTGGAATAAGCTACAAAGCAATCTGCAGATAGCTGCTTCTTGTGCTGGGCTTGGAGGTGCCCAGGTAAGGCCAAGCTGTGAACCAAGGTAAGATGCTGCTAATGCTGGGCCTAAAGCCACTCAGTGAGAGGTACAGGGCTCACTGAGGCCACATGCTGCTTGATTGAGAGCTTTTAGGAAAATCTGAAGCATGAACCAAAAGGGCTATTCCTATGGTAAAGCCACTGGAAGCAGCTTGATAGGCCCAAAAGTTGGAGGGGTGGGGTCTCAGGGAATCACCAAGGTGGGGCAAACAGTGTGAATCAAGTTGATGAAATCTCAAATCTCAAGTATGGCTCCTGTCTGCTGGCTGTGTGGGAGGAAGCACTCATCAAAGGGACAGTGGCCTCTGCCAGCACTTATGTCTGGGAGAAAGCTGCCTCTCCAGCTCTTTCCCTGATGCCAAACAATTCAGTTTCTCCCCATATGTCTCCCCTACCTTTCAAGCTCAGTGGGAGTGACTCTGAGTAAGTCCATGTGTGGACCCTGTAAGAGGAACTGCCTGGGACTCAGCCACAATTCCCACTGGTGTTTACAGCCCAAAGTTACAGGGACTTCTCTTCCTGGCATTGGAACCCTGGGCCAAGGTGCCTGGTGTGGGGCTGGGACCCCTTCACTCCTCAGAAGGGACGTCCGAAGCTGAGGTATCCCTCTTGATTTATATCTGCCACATGTGGGCGAGGGACCAGCCCATTCCACCCCTCCATCCCTCCTACTAGTCTTGATGTGCTTCTTCTTTAATTTTCTAGTTGTAGGACTTCCATTCAGCCAGATTTCAGGTGGTCCTTAATGACAGTTGTTCTGTAGTTAAGTTGTAATTTTGATGTGGTTGTGGGAGGAGGCAAGCACCGTGTTGACCTATGCCACCATCTTGGCCAGAAGTCCTGTATGATGCCAGTTTTACAGTGACAATGACAACTTAAACCAAACCCGTTTCCTTGTCTTCCTGAGTTCCTGACACTAGCCGGTGGCTGTCACCTGGGCTGTCAAAGGTCCTGTGTGGTGTCTGATGGGTACTTCATGTGTGCGCACACATGTGTGCTTAGTGCTGAGGAGCACTTGGTCCTTGGTACTTTCAAGAGGGACTCCTTGAAAGGCAATGTGTCCTTGTTATGGGGTTGATAGCAAAGAATATAAACCTGACTTTGACCCAAGGGCAATAGCCTTTTCTACCTACTGTACATCCTGTTGTTGTCCCTAATAAAAAGCCTGCAGAAGGCTGACCCCACATTGATCATGACTGGCCCTAGCTCTGTAGATGTTCAGGACCCCCAGATCTCCCACCTGATAGAAGTTCAGTGAAAACTGGTGGTTTCCTTGTGTTCCTGCCCTCAGGCTAAACCCCTCCATTTGCTTGAGGCAAAGGGAGTGTGAGGAACCAATAAAACAGCAATATTGATAACTATTATCCTTATAACTGTAGAAGTTATATTAAAATACCTGAGGCAGATGTCTGCCTCTCTGGGTCACCAATAACTTGTGAAAGGCTGGGGAGGGCAGAGGCCTCTTTTAGCTCAGAAACGGTAACGGAACGGGAAGGACTGAGAGCAATTCCATGCTGTGAAAATAGGAAGGCAGGCGTGGTCCCGCCCTGTCTGAAGCAGGATGGTGGCAGGACAGAGCAGCTGCCCAGGTCACAGCTGACCCTCATTCACGGAATCCGGGGCAACAGCAAGTCTGCAGAGCCCAGGATGGTGCATGGGCCACGCTGGAATTGGGCCACATAAGGATGGAACATTCCAGACAGTTTGGGGCTTAGACCTAAGACCAGTGAAGTCACCGCACACTGGGAGCGGTGTGGTGACAGCAGCTCTGCCATACTTTTCTCTGCACACTGATACGGGAAGAGGCTACACATAGAGGGGCCTGGGACCCCTCACACCAATTCCACCAATTTGCTGCCTGGGAAACATTTATTAAAGGGGAACCCCATTTAATAAGCAACCTCCCAGGAGCTGGCTGGCATTCCATATTAAACTTGGCTAACAGCATCTGTACTCAAAGTTTATTCCACATTTCATCACCAGGAACTTGAAAATACCCTGAAGCCAAAGCCACATTCCAGACCTGCTGAGTCATGACTTCTGGGTGGAGCCTGGATAGCAATAGATTCGGTGGCTCCACCAGGCATTTCCATGGGCAGCAGTTGGTGTACTAGATTGCAGCCTTGCTACTCAAGGGGCGGTCGGTGGACCATAGGATTAGCATCTCCTGGGAGCCACTAGGAATGCAGGCTTCCAGGCCCCGCCAGGTCTCTGACTCAGGCTCTGCTGAAGCACAAGGTCCTCAAGTGCTTTGTTTGCACATTAAAGCTTGATGAGCACCTGCAGGATGTCCTCTAATGGGACCTAATGGGCTGGCGATTGAAATGATCTGCTAAATGGAGAAGCAGTCATGGCGCAGTAATGGCCTGGGGTGGGGAGCTGCTGGGAGCAAGGCTGGGAGCTGTTCAAGAAGCTCACAGAGCCGCAAAGTGTGCCTGGCTGGCGCTGCAGCTGCACAGGTTAACTCCACACTGCCTGCTCCACAGGACAGCTCCAAGTGCTTTGTGCTTATCATAACCAGTTAACTGCCACTGGTCCAAAACGGAAGCCACCCCCACACGCCAGGATATTTTTAATTTAATTAAAAAGCGTCTATAGATGCTTATGGCGTACAAAGAGTTAATGTACTGCCCAGGGCTGACCACCAGCAGAGGTTAACAACCCTCATTTGCAGTACAGTGAGGTTAGGATCCTGCCCACAGTCACCTAGCTACTCAATGGCCCGGGAATGATTTTGCTTTGCTTATTATTGTTGACTTGCTTTGCTGTGTTAGCCTTGAGAAAAGGGGGCAAGGACCAAGGGCGTCCAGCAGACGCAGAGCCCAGGAGCAGTGCTGGGTCCAGCCCACTGGAGAGTCTGGCCCTGGCGGGGAGGCGGGCACTCCTGCTATGAGCCAGGCTGGAGCATCCTGTCAGCAGGGGCAGGGGCCGGCGGGACGGCCCTTGAATGGTGCAGGGCCGCTGCGGGGGCCACCCCAGGCTCGCACAGAGCCAGCCAGTCTTTTCTGTGGTCCAGTCACAGAGGAGCAGCTGCGGGAACGAGGTCATGGCCACCAAAGACGGGCTGTGCCCTGAAGGATAAGAAACCACCGTCTCCCAGCAGGGTGTTAGAACGAAAGCTTTATTTTAATGTTTCATTATTTTCAGAACATCACTGGCAGCTGGAAATCTGAATGCAAGGGTGATTTTTATAATTGAAGAGTAATTAAAATATGACGGATAATGGAATTGGAACAATAAATACACCTTAAATATAAATATACACACAGACATCCCCAGGTATAAAAGTCATGCTCTACAAGTGCTCTGCCCACAGTGCCTTGTGGGCACCGCGTTCCCGGTGGAGCTTCTAGAGCCTACGTGTCCCGTGAGTGGTGGGTATTTCCAGATAGCTTATGTAAAAGCCACACATTACAAATTTTGAAAAAAATTATCACAAAGCAACTTTTAAAATATTTAATATATTGTTTGTTCTACAAAGAATGAGCAATTCTGAAACATTACAAACCGTGAAACAAATATACTAGCTTATGGATATGTACAATACACTACTTTATATTTCAAAAATGCAGGAAGATAAAGTATATGTGTTAATATATATATAATTTTGATCTGATGAACAATTCAATATTGCTCTGGTTGGTCTTGCTGTATTGCATGCATGCCCAGGGCACGCCCATGGCTTGTCACTGGATGGAGGAAGGGCCGGCGGGACAGAGGGAACGCATGGAGCCCATGCTTATTTCCAGAGTGCAGCCGAGCGACATTCGGAGCTGTTAACTTATTGTCTGGCCAACACTCCTGCCCGTGTGCAATGGAGGCCGCACCCTCCGGAACCCACTACCCTATCGTTGCTGACACCGCCTGGCTCCACGGAAGTGACTCCTCAGCCTGAGTCACGGGGCCCTGAGAGACCGGTTGCCACAGTAGCGATCCTGTCAGTTTCCTGCACCCAGTGACCTCGGAGCACAGACCACGGCTGAAGCCCCGCTAGCTTCCTGGGAACGAGACCAGGTTTCCAACAAGTGTGTGTCCCTCACAGTGATGAAGCCTAAACACTTAGACAATGGCCCGGCCTGGGAGGCGGAAGCAAGCTCATGGTCAGCAGGAGAGGACGGCTGACAGGGAGCGCTCGCCCGGGAAGCTGGGACAGGCCCGGAGGCGACACCAGCTCGTGCCAGCACAGAGCCCACCCGGGCCTCAAGGCCCCTTCTGGCCAGGAGGTGCTGCTTCCTTTGCCACTTGACCCAGAGCCACATTAAAAATGGAGAGCATTTCTCTGAGAATAGAAACAGAAAACAGGCAGACACAGGTTGAAAGACAACTGTCCTAAAACCCACCAAGTAGCTCTCCCTGTGACACGGTGGGACAGCCCCGGAGCCGGACAGCCCGCAGGAGGGCGTCCCTGAGGACACGAAGAGGCCTGGCCGACTCTGGGCCCCGCTGCCGCCCAGGCCCTCCCACACCCTCCCTGCTCAGGTGGGAGGCCAGCGCCATCGGTTCTCAGAGCACCGCACACTCACTGACCCGTCCCCAGGGGTGGGGTGGCGGGGAGGGGAGTCATTAGAACAGAGGGTGAGACCACGGGAGGAAAATCCCCCAGGAGGGTCTGTTGAGAGCAGGAGGGGAGCGCCACTACTGCGGGCCAGGCCTGCTCCAGAGGCAGGTGCAGGGAGAGGAGCCGGAGGGTGCAGTCGCCCCACACGGGACACCTCTGCCCGCTGTTGCCCACAGCAGGCTGCCGGGGCCACGTCCGCTGCCAGGCGGTGGCGGGAGGACTGCTGAGAGGAGACTCCGAGTCGGGGGCTGGGCTATGCTGACGGGAGCAAACGGGAGCACTGGGCTCCGTCAGTGGGGCTTTTCGGGAAGCAGAGCCAAACCGGACTCCGACGGCAGAGAATCAGACTGGCGGCCTCGGCCCCACCGCCAGCCCCGTGCGCCTGCCGGGCAGGGGCCAGCACGGCCGCGATCGGGCTGCACGCAGATCATGAGGAGAAAGAGGGGGCCCTGCCTGCACTGCTCTGAGGAGGCGTTTCTGATGGGACCCGGGAGACGTGTGCTACTCGGAGGCGTTTTCCAGGAATGCAGTGTATTGAGGGGCATCGAAACAGTGACCACTCCGTCCCAAGTACGTCAGTGAGGGGCGAGGTGTGCACTCCCGACGGGCCACCTAGAAGGCAGTGTGCGCTGGCCTCCCCAGGCCGTCACCTACAGAGACAGCCACGGGCGGACAGGACGTCTACCACAGCGAAGTGAGTCGCTCGTGTTTAAACTCTGAGGCTGGCAGAGGTGCCCCCCTCCCGGGTTAAAGGAAGGAAACTTCGCATGTGAAACCCTCTGAGGGTGGCAGTGCCGTGGGGTTCGTACGTCACGGTGTCCACGCTCAAACCCCACAGCGCTCTCCCGGGCAGGCATCCTGAGCCCACACTGCACGTGAACAGAAATCCTCTGGAAGGCTGAACCGGAGCCTCTCCCCGAGGCCCAGGGAGGTGGGGGCACCCCTCGGGGCTCACAGGTCCATGGGGTGTGAGCATCTGGGGGAGGCATGTGGTTTCAGTCCAGTTAAAGAACCATGAAGAAAGCAACTTTGGCCTGGCTTCTCCCCTCCTCTCCCACCCCCTCCCCCAGGGCGGCACCGGCTGCTGAGCAGAGGAAAGGCTGGTCTGTGGTGGACCTGCAGCCCCAGGTGAACATGCTTGGACACACATGCAGGGGCAGTCCCTCCCTCCCTCGCTCCACTCCTGGCGGCACACACAGGAGGCCACAGAGGCTGCGGGCGCTCTCAGCCCCCTGCCCCGCCGGGCACGTGGGTTTTTGTTGAACCGTCTGGCGGATTCCCTGGTTCCGGAGAGGGGCTTGTTGGTGGTGGTGTGGAATGCCCTCTTAAGGACAATAGGGCACGTCTCGGTCAAAATGCGATAGTTAACATGTGGGCATCCTACATGCTGCCCTGACGGCGGCGGGTTTCACAGGGAAGAGGGAAGGTGAGGTGACGGGACACGGGAGGGCATTCACATGACCACGCACTTGCCCTTGAGCTTCTCTTTCCTCTTCTGCTGCTTGCTCTTCTTCCCGTCGATCTGTAGGCTCACGGTCCTGCGCTTCTCCAGGTTGAGCAGCTCCTGGAAGAGCTCCTTCACGTTGTGGTTGAGCTTGGCCGAGGTCTCCATGAAGGCGCACTTCCACCTGCGGGCCAGGGCCTCCGCCTCGCTGCTCTCCACCTCGCGGCTTGGGCTCTCGTCACACTTGTTCCCCACCAGCATGATGGGGATGCTCTCCACGTCCCCTTTGATCTCGCAGATCTGTTCGTAGATGGGCTTGAGCTCCTCCAGGGACTGCCGGCTGGTGATGGAGTACACCAGGATGAAGGCGTGCCCCTTGGAGATGGACAGCCGCTGCATGGCGGGGAACTGGTGGCTGCCGGTGGTGTCCGTGATCTGCAGCGTGCAGATGCTCTTGTCGCAGCTGATGACCTGCCGGTAGGTGTCCTCCACGGTGGGGATGTAGCTCTCCCGGAACGTGCCCTTCACAAACCTCAGGACCAGGGAGCTCTTGCCGACACCACCTGCGCCGAACACGGCCACCCGGTAGTCGTTGCTCTGTTCTGGCATGTTGCTTGCGGGCTCCAACTCTCAACCAAAAAGCACCTACAGGGGACCAGAGGTGGAGAGAATTAGTGAGAAAGTACCTTGAGAGTGATCACTTGGGTTGCTTTACCCTCCTTTGATAGCTTAAAAGAAACTGAAGTGCGATAGTTTGCCTTCGCTCTCCCAACATTCAAATTTCATTTCAAAAATTCTTCAGTTCTAAATCCAATATGTATAGTCCATCCTCAACTTCTAAAGAGACAGACAATCTACTCGGTGGCCAGCTGGGCAGCCTGTCTCTTCTGACTGGACCGTGACGTGAGCAGCTTTGCTCACGTGGGCACCATCTACCAGGGAAAGGAGCCGAGTCCGCCAGGGAGGCGGAGCCAAGGAAAGCTCACGGAGAGATAGCATTTCACGCCCAACACGCACGTGCACAGTCACAGCACGCCTTTTACCTGAAGTTCTGTAAACACCCAATACTCCACTCGTAACATGTGACTTTTTCCGAGCAGGGGAGGGGGCACAATGAGGAGGAAAGGCTATTAATATTTATTCGCTGTCCAAATTAACTCATGAAATCCTCACACCTTTCAGAACTGGTGTCGCAATGAAGAAACTGGGAACACAGAAGGAGTCTGGGAATGCCATGCCCCGGCCTGGCAGAGCCAGTGAGAGGTGAGGCTGAAATGCAAGGCACAGCGTGCCGGCACCTGGTCCTCCTGCAGAGGCCAGCAGTAGCGCGGGCGCGGACGGAGGGCGCGGGCGCAGTGCAGGGGGCACTACTCCGCTGGCAAGCCGTCCGCCGGTAGCAAGGTGGACAGTTAACAAAAAAGCTTGGAGAGCCCTTTCACTCATCAAAATTCAAACGGGTACGGGTGCTTTATGTTTCTGCATCAGAGGAGGTGAGCGTTACCAAGAGAGTAGTATAAACTGCTATTAACAGCCATTAAAATGGAGTAGAACGGGGTTTGTCTTCATCACAAGCTCCATACTGATTATCTAATATCTCATCCTGCCCCTTCTTTGATAAGAAAGGTCATAAAACACACACACAAAGGTGGAAAATGAAGCAACATCTAAGTTTTGTTGTAGCTGAAGTCTACAAATTATAGAATAATATGAATCATGAAAGCCATTTCCTTCAGACAACCACTGTGCTTTCACTTTTCAGATCTTAGAGTAACTGAGGACCAATAATGACAAAGTCATTTTCAGAGGCCAGAACAGAATATTCAGCACGATTCCCATGGAGGGAATGGCTGCGGCCTCCAAACGCTCAAACCCGGGCCGTTCTCCGCGCACTCTGGAACCCCAAACCTCCCAAGGAGCTGAAGAGCATCAGTGCTGAAGGGGACGCAGAAAGATGTCAGAGGTTCAGGAACAGAGAAAGCCTGTGAGAGCGCCTGCTCAGGAGCTTGATGATCCTATGAAACGTCCATAAGGTCCCTGCGAGCACGCCAAGAGCACAGCGCTGTGGGAAGCCGCTCTGCTTGTAACAACGCGGTGGCCTGTGGGCTCTGGCGTGAAACCTCTCTGCACCCCCGCACGGGCTCTGTGCGCGGGCAGCCGTGTCCACGCAGCCCTGCTCTTCACCAGGGGAGGGTCCGCATTCAGCGGGAAGGGCGCGTGGCTTAGCAAGCTCTGCGTCCCAAAAACTCTTGGTCTGCAACTCACAGCCATTCTGTGTTTGATGACTATTTCTCAGCCAACCTAAAATGTCTCCATTATTAAACTGGCAACCAAGATACAGAAAACAAAGACAAAGCACAAAAAAGAAGAATTTGTAGCTACTGTAATTCATGAATCCAAGAAATATCTATTGAACTTCCTCTAAAGGCCGGGCTCTGGGCCAGCAAACTGCTGTCAGAGGACAGACCTCAGCCAGGGGCTGAGACCTCTGATCTTTTATTTATTTTTTTAAAATATATTTTATTGAATTTTTTTTTTACAGAGAGGAAGGGAGAGGATAGAGAGCTAGAAGCATCGATGAGAGAGAAACATCGATCAGCTGCCTCCTGCACACCCCCCACTGGGGATGTGCCCACAACCAAGGTACATGCCCTTGACCGGGATCGAACCCGGGACCCTTCAGTCCGCAGACCGACGCTCTCTCCGCTGAACCAAACTGGTCAGGGCTGAGCCCTCTGATCTTGAAGAACCTGGGATCATGCGGAGCAGACAGACACCAGAAATCCAATGTCACAAAGGTTTAATAAATTACATCACAGCAGCGCTGCAAAGGAGAGGTTTAAAGGAGCCTACCCAGCCAGGGGCAGCAGGACCAACTCCCCCAAGCAGTTGGCATGGGAGCAGGAAGCTGGATGGTGTACAGGAGGCAGGCAGGTGAAAGGTGAAAGTTCACTGAATTTATGAGAGAGGTCTGGGGCAATAACTCCATGCTCATCTTCAACTCTCTAACAGTTTTTCCCCAAACTATATTCTTCCACCTCAGATTCACTCATTCCATAAGCATTTATTAAAGAAGAAAAAGCCCTCCACATGATATGCAAGCGTGGGGCTTAGCCGACAGAAGCTCACAGCCTTAGAAGACAAGCACAGGAAGAGGGCAGGACACCCCACTGGGCAGGTGCTGTGGTAAAGCCACAAACAAAGGCAGGCGAAGAACCGGGTGGGGCGCCTGTCCTGTCCGCGCCCTCAGGAAAGGCTTCCCAGAGCGCTGGGGCGGACAGTGAGGCGATGAGAGGCCTGTGTGCTGACCCAGGAAAGAACCTTGTGGAGCGGAGCAGGAGCAGGGTTAGAGCCAGTGTTCAGGAGAACCGTGCACGTGGACACAGCACTGCAATCAATGGAAACCAGGGAGAAGGCATGCAGCACGAGGGGAGAGGATCAAATGCCAAATCCGACCCAGACCCATAAGAGAACTTGGCATGTCATTTACTTGAACTTTCTGCACTTGAGTTGCCTGACCTGTAAGATGATGATAGTAACACCTCATCTTTTTTTAAATATATATATATTTTTTTATTTCAGAGAAGGGAGAGTCACCCCAATTTAAAATATAAAAAATTAATTAATCTTTTAAAAAAATATATCAATGATGAGAGAGAATCATGGATTGACTGCCTCTTGCACACCTCCCACTCCCCACCCCACCGGGGATCGAGCCCACAACCATGGCATGTGCCCTGACCAGGAATCGAACCACAACCTCCTTGTTCATAGGTCGATGCTCAAACACTGAGCCACACAGCCAGGCGGTAACACCTCACCTTCACAGAGCTTCCGTGGGATTTAGTGAGACAACACAAGGTCAAACCCCTAGCGTTGCTGCCAGGGCAAAGGGCTCCGGCTGTTTTCAGGAAGGATCAGCCAGTACAGGGCGTCACAAAGGAGCAGTGAGGAGAGTGGGAGAACTGGAGAGAAGATGACAGAACGTCAAGGGACAGATCATGTCAAGAAGACGTGGCGGGTGTGCAGCTAAAGCAGTGCACAACGGGAACTTCATAGCTACAATCACCTCATTAAATGAAAACAAAGATCTCTCATCAGTAATGTCATCTTCCACCTTATTAGAGAAAAGCAGCAAACTAAACCCAAAGAAAGAAAAAATTAGATTATAGTGAAAATTAATAAAACAATAAATATAAACACAGTAATGATAAACACAGTAAGTAAAGAACCACAGAGTGGGTCTTTAAAAATATTAACAAAATTAACAAACATTTTGTTAAACTGACCAAGAAAACAAAAAAAGTGAAAAGACTCAAATTATTAAAATTAGGGAATGAAAGAGGAGACATTACTACTGACTTTACCGAAATAAAAAAGATTAAAAGAGACTCCTATGATTAACTGTATGCCAACAAGTAATATAACTTAGATAAAACAAACTACCAAAGCTGACTCAAGAAGAAATAAAAATATAAACAGACCTATAACAGGTAAAGATCGTAAATTAGTAATAAAAAAAATTACCCACAAAGAAAAGCCAAGGTCTGCATGGCTATACAGGGCATTCATTTAAAGAATAATTGATAGCAGGTCCTCACAAGTGCTTCCAAAAAAATGAATAGGAAAAAATGCTTCTCACTATTTCTGAATCCAGTATTACCTTGATACCAACACCAGACGAAGATATAACAAGAAAACTACAGACCAGTATGTCTTATATAGATACAAAAAAAGATACAAAAATTAAAAATTCTCAGCAAAATACCAGCAAATTAAATTCATCAATGTATAAAAGAATTATACAGCATAAACAAGTAGGATATATACTGGGTATACAAAGTTGGTTTAACATCCAAAAATTAATACAGCACACCTTATCAATAAGCTAAAAGACAAAAGCTATGATAGTTTTAGTAGATATAAAAAATGACAAAATTCAGCACCCAATCATGAAAAAAAATAAATAAACCTTAAGCCATTTTGAACAAACCAATATAAAAACACAACTGCAGCAACTTGTTGTGATTAAATAAGGGAATAAAAGGTAACTTCCTTAATCAAATAAAGGGCTAATAATTTAAAACCCAGAGCTTAAATAATATGTAATGGTAAAAGACAATAGTCTCTCCCAACGATTAGAAAAAGATAAGAGGATTCACTCTTACAGTTTCCTTTTTTTTAAAAAAATTGTGATTAGAATTTAATAGTTATGTAGACATGAATGGTCATTCTCCCAGAATCAAATAAACTACCAATCAGAATTATATAAAAGTAATTCAATCAAGAATTTGTTTTCATCTTTTTTAGAGATGAAAAGTTTTAAGAAACAAAACGTTGTAAAAGTAATAAAATTTAATTTTGTTGTATCCTAATTGCTTAGGTATGTTCTATTAATTCCAAATAAGTAAAATAATACAAAAACATATTTTCAATCTTTATAGAATGAAGAGAAAACCACATTAATCATTAAGTAGTCTTGGATTTTCTTTACTTCTCCCACAGATGAATTCACAAATATAAAAGTCAATGTACATTTATATTATGAAGTACAAATATCCAACAGCCATGCAGTCATGCGTTTATGTGCGAAGTTGATGTTGCATATGCCTTTGCTATGGGAAGCAGAGCACAGGCTCAATGGACAA